ATCTCAACTTTGTTGATAAATTCAAATTATATTGAACAATTTAAAGTTACGTAATATTTCATTTTCTTTGGACATTGAACGCATCTCTGCGCTATCACACAAATACACTAAAAAATATCATTGTTGATTTCGTTTCTAACTGAAAAAACACGCACCCTTGGCAACTACTTTAAGAGAGGAACCAAAGTTCTGCGCACCCCATGCCAGCCTTAATAAACAGATGTCTCTAAAAGCAGGAGAGGATCCAAGTGACACCAAGATTATCCTTATGTCATCAGATGTAAATCTCTGAAAGATAAGATGGAAAAGCAAGGAAAAGTCACTCATCTGATGACAATGCAGTAATTACGTGTATTACAGGCAAGTCACGTAAGAAAAGCACCGGTATGGGTAAAGGAAAATGTTTCAGGCAGGATTCTATGCTTGCTTCAGGTTTGTTTTCTATCCTCGTATTACATATCGAATGGTAAATAAACCAAACCTTTCCGCATGTCAAAAGAACTTTTTCAGAAATGAAGAATTTGCTGTACAAGTAAAAAAATGTTTAGAAGTAATGATTTCAAAGAAGGCTATTGTTTGCTGAATCCTTTAAGCCCCAAAATCATCTCACTTATTGAATACTTTTAAAAACCTTTTCTTAAAACCCTCTTTGATTTTTATCCTCTTTCGCCTTACTTTTTGGCAAGCAATTATTCATAATCTAGGTTTTTTTCTAATAGCTTTACTCAAGCATGTTCAAAAATCATTAAAAGGCAATAATCCAGGTTAGTTATGATACCAAAGGTGCTCCTTGCCAATGAAGCAAACATTTTATCAGGGAGTCCACCAGCTCCATCATCCTTGGTGTAAATTCTGAATAGTCCTCCATTACAAGAGGCATATCTGAAGATTTAAAAACCCTGTTATTAATAAGGATTGTTGTATCGCTAGCATATTCTCATTACTAAAAATCCTCTAAATCAAATTTTAATGCCAGGAACTTTACTTTCAACTAAGGATTGGTTTAAGATTTCAGACTTTGTTCCCACGAACTACCGTCTAAAAATAAAGGCAGCTTTGTTCATCTTATCCAAAGAGCAAAACAACTTGAGTAAGCAAAAAGGTAAAGTTCAAACAATAGGTGCGATGGAATAACTGAGTAAGCAATCATAACCAAAACCTTTACAGAGTTGTTCCGACTAGCAAAGCCATCCACCAAACTCTCTGCAATACCCTAATGAGAGCAGGACAGGGAGGACAGCAATATCAGCTTGGAAAGTCCGCTTATCTTCCCACGATTTTAAGAACGTCTCTGTAAGAATCAAACATCTTGGGAAATGAAAATTTTCACTCCCCCCCCCTTCAAATTTTGCATGCAGTTAGGCACTCAGGGGGGATGTACAAAAATGCCCTTTTTAAAGGTTGCAGCACTCTTGTTGCCAAGGTAACAACGAATGCTTGTTCGAGGCCTGGGGCCTCATTTCAATACAAAAACATCGCAAAAAAAGTGTAAAATGTTTATTTCTCTATCTCAAGCTAAATACAACATTACAGATTGGTACTTGTAGCATACATAGTGATATTATTTGTCTTTACTTTGATGCATTCAATTTTCCCTAGGAGTGAATGTAAGCACACCAGTAGATTATTTATCTCGATACAGTTTCGGTCATTTTTGCTGTAGGGTAAAACAGGGTAAACGTTTGTCTAAATTTCTCCAAAAGTACACCGATTCTGGAACTGAAACTACGCACTTAGTTGGTCATGATATTCTAGTTTTTAAATATGTAAAAATCTCTGCGGGCCGGCCTCTACTTTTCATAGTGGCAATTCGCGAACGAAGCTCAAAAATCAGATATTGCATAAATTGGCAATGTTTACATCTAATGTTCTCAACAACAAACCTTTCAGACAAATGAAAAGTACAAGACTTTGAAAGAATGTTATCTTCTGAGCAATATCCCGAAGAGAAATCTCGCCTCTAGCTTTAATATTTAAAACGAAAGTATCAACTTTCATGGAGGACTACTCGACGTAACTACAAAAATGTACCTTAAATCGTGTGCATAATCATCCAGATTCCGAGTACTGTACTTCCTTTCATGGGAATTTGAGCAATCTGAAATCCTCTGACGATACACTGTTATACCTGTCTGTCATTTGAAACATGTTATGGCTGTCTGATCTACACGAAACTATCCGTAACACCGGTCATTTGTCATAAACAAGTACGTTATACTGATGGCGTGACGCTGGATTTCTCCATGAAGTTTCAATCAGGTCGCTCCAAAGAAGTCGAGATATGGACTTTTTTCGACATTTCAGCAGACGTCCTCGCATTCTGAAGTAAAAACAACCAAAAAAGAGAGAGGAAAACGTTGATTGAATGCTCATAAACACTGAGAGTGAGAGTATGTCAGCGGTAGTACTACATGTAAAACCCAGTTTCCTCAATAGCAATTTGTACGATATATTGCCTCTTCTTCGAGCAGACGTCATTTCTGAGTGACGAACTGAGATATTTCGAATCATCTAAAAACTGTTAGAAAATTATCAGAAAATTTGCATAAGATATGTCAACGAGAGACTTATCACCGCCGCGGTGCAATCGAGTCAGTCAATGTTTCCTTCCACGTCTTGATCAAGAAAAAAGTCAAAACAAAGTTCGAAATAAAAGATTTAATGAAATCACGATGTCATAATTCCACATTCCAAACTACTCATTATCCACACGCAAAGCGCAACTCGTAACTGGAATGAACTCCCCAAGGTGATATGCAATCTGGATTGCTTCAGGCTCTTCAGGAAAACGAACAGCGATTTCATCACGATTTCTTTTATAAGCTAAAAGAAATATGAATATAACGCAATCTTCCGGTGATTTACACGTCAGGAAGTCAAAGGTCTCTAATTTCCCCTTGAGGTGGCCGGCTCACCAGATAGAAGAAGGAGATCGTTTTGTCCAATGACGTTATTCTGTGGAGATTATCAAGAGGGTCGTGAAGGGGTAAAATGAGAACTGGGATTAGCCTTATTTTGGACTGGGAAAATGGGAGTTACTCACTGGGACTGGGATTTAGCCACTGGGAATGGGATGAACAATTATAAAATGGGAATGGGATTTCCTTTCTTCAGCGGTCTTTGCTCCAATATTTTGAAATAGAAAAATAAAATTTCGTAGCAACAGACCTTGCGCTTCTCAGTAGAGACCGTGAAATCAGTATTTTTCGCCTTCGCGCCCGCGGTCTAGCTATCAGGCTTACACGGTCGCATAGTTACGTCCTGTCAGTTTTCCTGGTCAGCGGACAAGTTCTGCAAGTTTGCATATGGCGGGAAGATATTGTGGAGGGAAGATAAAAATGGCTTCCGAGGTTTCTCGCAAAATGGTACTAGAAATCAAGTACGTCAATGCAAATAACGCCGTTATACACACCGAAAACTCTAAACTTTTGTTGGATTTAAACTGTAGTCCAAAGGAATCGGAAAAAACAGTTGTAAACAGTTGTGGAATTGAACATTCCGCTGCAAAGGGGGGTTTTTCGGACTTTTCAATCGAGTTGTACTATGTGGACCATGTCGAACCAGGTAACCTGAAGAAAGCAGCATTTATACTGCGAACGGATGAGACATTTGGAATGCTTAGAGCGAGTGAGTCACACTTGTTATTCGTTAAAGTGATCCAGCGAGTAGCATCGTTTCAAAAAGGTAGAGTAAACATTGTGTTCGAGAGTTCATCGTCAACCTCAACAGATGCAAATTGTTGTGACTCTTCGACCTGCACGAAAAACACAGCCTTGGGTAAATCACCTAAAGAGTCAAAAAAGACCACTACAAGGAAAAGTAGGAGCAAGTTGCCTCAAACTCACGAGAAACTCAAGGACTTTCTTGAAAAAACAAACGATGTGAGACTGGCAGACGATGGCAAAAGCATGAAATGCTTGCTTTGTGGCAAAAATCCAAAACTGGATAATAGTAAGAGGTCAAACAGTGGCCATGTAAAGTATTTCAGGCGTGTGCATAGGTGCTCTGTACATGCAGAAGTCGAAGGCTCAAAAACTCGGAAAATTAATGAGTTTTATGGTCTTGTGGAAAAGCGACCAAAGGTAGGCACCCAACCTGATGCTGACATTGTGGTCAATGTGGAAGAGAAGACAGACCTTGAAGACCTGGAAAGTGGCACTAATATGCCTGATACACCTAAAGAAGTGACTGACACAGTAAACAGTGTGTGAGTACTTGCATCTACTTGTACCCTGGTCATTTATGTTTGAGGTTGTGTCACCATGAGAATTTGTAAAGGCTGCACTGTTTTTTTTACATGGACTCTTTCCATTATGAATTATTAAAACTGGAGTCAACTTGCGTTATTGTTGACAATTCATTAAAGTTTTGGGCCATTGGTAATACAACTATCTGCCTGTAAATTTGTTATCTTTCATATTTCTAGGTTCTTGTGTAACCAAGATAATTTCAAGCTATGAGTCTAGGACCAAGACACAAGAAAAAGAGAATGAACCTAAATATAAAGGACATTAACATAAAATCAAGTTCCGGGATTGATCTTTTGGGAGTTGCAATTGATGATGATTTAAACTTTACTAAGCATATCAATAATGTCTGCACTAAGAGG